CAATACCGCTTTTGACATTAGAATTGCTGTCAATAATCAAATAATAATATTTTCAACTATTCTCATAATATACAATCATGCCTATCGGAAGATATTTGACAAGCAAAAAAAAGGGGAGGGACACAAGGGTCATTTGAAATTTCCTCTATTTGAGATACTACTTAAAGAGTTTTAGGCACTCTTAAAACAACCTTAGTCCTTTACGTTTTTTTTTATTAGGGCACCCACCATGACGATATCATTAAAAAGACAAATATTTTTAATAATATCTATAATGAGTGATAACAGTTCCTCTCCGTTTAAATTATTATTCAAGCAGAAGTATTCAGTAGGGATGTCAAAATACTAGCATCTATTTTCCGTAGTCATTCGATCGCATTATTCGAAATCGACTATTCGGAGCATTTATTTATTTATTTTAAAGCTTGGTGTTTTAGAAAGCTTATTAAATAATTAAAATAAATCGGAAAGGGAAATTGTAAACACCCTGTATTCACCTTAGCCGATATTGTTAGATACTGCATGCTCAAGTAACGATTACCCCGGCTATCAAAATGTCCTTACTACTCAGTATTCAAGATTATTGTATCAAAAATTTTCTAAGTTTAAATACTTCACGGCTATGCAACTATTTTGTGATCCTAGCATTTGAAATTCCTAGAGGCTTTAAATATATTTAAAAATGGTACAAGTCAAATTAATAACTTTATGCCCGGGAAAAATGAAGTATACAATTGAAATATGTCTTCATCAGCAAACCACTTTCGATTTGTTGATGAAAAATGCGTCTGAATGATGAAGACAATAGTGGAGAATAATTTACGGAGAGCGTCTAGTCGGATAAGAATCGAACAAAATCGATACCCAAAATTTTAAACTTTATCAATTCCTCTAGTAACAGTTGGCTGCATAAAATATAAATTGAAATCAGATATATGAATGACCTATCAGCAAAAATAGATTTGTATTGATGAATAAAAAAAACCCAAACTGTATAACTCACGTTTTTATGCGAAGAGTAAAATTTCATGTTCTAAGACAGGAACCTTTTTTCGACAGTAAATGCTTAGCAACTTTATGTATTAAATATTCTTAAAGATGAACTTCATGAAAGTTAGTATATTGTGTTTGTCGTAATTTATAATGGGAAAAAACATTGTTAAAATCTTTTTTTATGCAAAGTGAAACTTTAACTGTGAATTACTTCTCCCACCTTAATCCCATGCACATGTCTAAACTTAAACCTAAATGTATAGAACAAACAGGTCATCTGGGCTACAAAAAGGCCAGTAAATGAGAATTTATTATTTCGGTTGGTAAATACTGTACTTTCAAAACAAATGTTCAATATGATTAAATGTAAATTTATTAAAAGACAGAATATTACGAGATTTTGCTCCTTCAGACGACAATAAAGCGCTTTTACAAGTCATGTTGTTAATTTTGAATATACCAGGTGGCAGTAAACAAAAAATTTATAAATTGTCATGTTGTAAATTTTGTATTTAATTACCGCCACTCGGTAAAAACAAAATTTACAACACAGCATTACCTCTACCTCTCAACACCAGAAACTGAAAGAGAAGAAATGTAGTGAGGGATCTAGAGAGAGTTTCGGGGTTTTAACATCCTCTAAGAGAGAGCGAGTATTCCAACATATGTGTTGCGTTTTTATCAAAGTAAAACTTCTATTAATAGATAAGTTTAAACTTTAGTTTAACGCTTGTGTCAATGTTTCTTCTTCATGCATTTTGAGATGAGAATTTTATGATCACCTCCTTTTCTTGCATTTATTCAATATTCAGATATCGTTTCGTTATTATATCGTAGGTCCATTCGACTGATAGTCTAATAGTCCCCTATTCATTGACATCCCAAGTATTGATGTCTGACAGTTGATTTTGGGTGTTGCTAAAACGCGGAACGGAAAGCGGAACGGAACGGAAAACGGAAATTTTTTGTCAAACAAATAACATAGATTCGATATAAATCAGATAAGAGAGCAATATTCTTTTTGTAAAAATCATTTCTGATAAAAACTAGATGTAAACTATTATATATTCATGAGTCATACACACCCTCCGTGGAAAAAATGTACTGAAAGAAATTCGCACCCCCCTCCCACATAATCTGCAAAGTCCCCAGTAAATGTACAGTATCTCTTGTATATAGTTTCATTTAACAAAGATGGGTAGTTATATATTCATGTAGACTCCAAACATCCGGGAAAAAACATAAGATGCAAATCAAAATTGAAAAGAAACTAGAGGTACTGTGAGCAATTGGCTCACTAAATGATAACCCCGTCTCCAATATGAATATAATGACAGTACCAATATTTTGCTGTGGAAAACCCAAAATATGTGTCGGATCAAAAAGTAAAATAGAAGGTGACAATGGCAATATGTTTCAAAGAGTCTATGAAAGTTTCATCAAATTTCATTCAGTGGTATGGGGGAAGTTGAGGATATAGATGGGTACCCCAAAGCGTAACAGACGGACGGACGGATATACCGATTACTATATACCCTACCGCTTTTCAAGCGGGGGGATAAAATGTTTGTTTTTTAACATTGTGAAGGGCTGGGAGGATGTACACTCTGTAAGCGCCAGTAGACGAAGCTGTAAAACTACCACATGTCGCTGTGAATGCAATTTAGCATTTGTTCAATCATAAAGATCTGACCGACCCTTTCCTTCCCTGGTGATGTCTCATCGACTGGCGACGCTGACCCCCCTTTTCTTTCACCTGTAAATGCTGTTTTAGGGAGTGGGATTTACACGCATGTACTATTTCTTGTGTTTTATTTTTTCCGTTAAATTAATACACACAATGATCTATAATAATCATAAATCATGCGTTTGCGGTTTTAAGAAAAAAACATTGTAATAAAAAGAGTTGTTTCCTTTGCTAATTACATAATGATAAGCGTACAATTAGCGTTGAAAAGTTTTGTTTACTCTTTGAATGCGTTTTATTTAAGAAAAAGAATTTACACCTTCTGGACATTGTAAACTGTAGGTATCTCGTCTCCTTGTACATGTAAAAAAACATTGTGTTGGAAGATACATTGTTTGTGTGTAGTTTTGGAAAGGGAAGGGGGTAGTTTACATTTTCAGGCAAAGAGCTGGGATTGATATTCGGAAAATATATACCTTACATGCCTGGGCATGCAGTGTTTTGGAGCGTCTGCTCTAGAGTCACGGTGTAAGGAACTACATGTAATCCTTAAGTCGCGGTTCGAATCCTATTGTTGGACGTGGGACCGGTCCTTCGAATGAGACCGTATAAACCGAGGCTCCGTGTCACAGAAAGTGCTGACACGAAAAAGATTCCCTACTGCTCAAAAGCCGTTAATGTAGAGCATGGAACAAAATTTGTTCTCTTTACCGTCAAGTTGTGGCAAATGTTTATTTATAGTTGAAAGTAAAGAGCCATAGCTGCCTTACCGACGACTCGGCCTACACAAGTATTTAAAAGGAAATCACCTGTTTCTATTTATAGATACATGTACCTTTTCAAATCAAAATCAATCCACATTTGTGTAATCATTTGTGAACCAGTGTTATATTTTTATAGTTGCAAGTTTGTTGCATGTATTGTAGTATCTTCACACATTTACAATGTAATGAATAGGTCCTTTGGAAGCAATTTCAGTCTCATGTACATGTAGGATAATGGGTGTCAATCATGCATTTTCTTATTTAAACTACCAAATTTTTCTTCATAAGCAAGAAGGACATCAAACGAATTTATTAAATGGACACAAGCACATGATATAGGTTTTCTACAGACTTCAAAATATCGGCCAAAAAATTGGAAGATAAAGTATTTTATTCGGGCATAGCTAAATAATGAAGCAATGCGTTTTCAAATCAAAATTATATCATATTATATCACATTGTGTTCTGTGCGTCCAAAATGAAAAAAAAATATCCTTTCATATGTATTTTAGTGAAAAAATGGTTTTGGTAAGGAATTTAGAGTAATTAATAAAAAATATTGGCAACAGAAAATACTCAGGTATAGCTATAGATTTTCTTTCGGAGAGCTACAGTTCTGCACCTATACCGATTATAGAAATTACATGTATATTTACTTGTGCGATAGAACTTCTTCGATGAGTTGATCTTCATTTTTAAATTCAGGGGATTGTTTGATTAAAGTTTAATTTATGGTAAGGCCATAATAAAAAGACCTAGATTGTCATCATTTTTCTTTAATCAAGGCGGGCGTGCGCCGGCGATGGGTTTTATTTTATATATTATTTTCTAATTTGAAGAATTGTTATTAAACTGGTCAATTAGTGCATATTTATCACAGGTACTTGTGGACAGGACCCCCCCCCCCCCCCCCCGATATTCAACCCCGGGGCTTATTGGATTTTTTTTTTTAAAAATTATATTTATTGTTCTCATTCATCATGTGTACAATATGAAAAAATCGTCAAAACCCCAAAACAATCGCTCCACAAAAAAAAAAATATCCCACTATACATTATAAGGGGTCTCCCTTATAATGTATAGTGGGTATTTTTTATAGAGCGATTGTTTTGGGATTTTGACGATTTTTTCATATTGTACACATGATGAATAAGTGTAATAAATATAATTTTTGATACAATAAGCCCAAGAGGTTCAATATTGGGGGGGTCCTGTCCACAAGTACCTGTGATATTTATCTATTATATTTGAATGAAAGTCATATTAGCGGTCCATTTATCTCTAACAACATATCATTACCGATCTCTCACATCCAATGACCCTTGTTTAATATATATAAAGTATATAATAAAGTATTATTACAATGAATTATTACAATGAGGTATATTATTATAAAATAAAGTATTTAATATATATAATATATATATATATATATATATATATATATATATATATATATATATATATATATATATATATATATATATATATATATATTAATCTGAAAAATTAAATCTAAAAAATTAATATAAAAAACACAATATGTACAATTTCTAATGGTACTCATTAATTCTATAAAGTTTGAAAAATATTCATTGTTTAAAGATTGAATTCATAGTATAATCAACATTCTGATTTTTATCAATGCTTCAAACCTTTAATTCAGTTTCTGATACATCTCGGTTCAAAATATTAAATACCCGACATAAAAAAAATTGTTTGTGAATTGCAATTCAAGTCTCACTATTCTTTGGTATTCTATACAGCATTCTACGAACCCTAATTTTTAGCACCTACATTAGGTTTGAGCATTATTTCCAATTCAAGCACATTTGATTTCATTTTCTCCAAGATTACTTGCAGTTTGACTTTTTCTATAATAGCATTCTCGTCTTCTCTTCTTAAGGTAAGTTTTTCAATGGATTTAAGATCATCTAAGTACTTCTTTCCAGTGAAGGTTTCCAGTCTGTGACAGATATCCGACATCAACGACCAAGTGTCATCAAATTCTTTCTGCGGTGTGGAGGCTGAACTCACATGTGCAGTCAATTCATTTCGAATCAATCTAATTCTCTCGATATCGTCACCCACTGTCACCTCTCCTGCTGCAGGCATACTGTCATCTCCCCATTTTCCTTTTGTTGGTTTAGGGATCGTTGAACAAATGTTTCTAATGCACTTGTATGTTAATGAAACATCAAATTCCTTATATCCAGAATGTTTTGCTTTTTTCAAAAGATCCTCTTGATGTGTATACAATTTCATATTATTCCTTTTTTTGTTTGACAATAAATTCACCTTGTTTTCAATGTCAGATGAGGGAATTTCTGATTCCAGAACATCTCTGCATGCCTTATTTAACACATCGTTTGTGGCCATGCCAAGTTTTGCAAATCTAGACCGGCCTTCTAGGTTTTGTCCAGAGGCCACAGAAATACTGGAATCATTCACCTCTCTCTGAAACAAAATAACCTATACTTATTATAAAAAAAAACCCATCTTAACCTCGAAACCAAGTGCTGGAAATTGCCAACTTTGTCTGAAACAAAATCAAATTTTAGTTCATCTGATGAAGCCAACTTGGGAAAAAACATTATAAACCAAGATTAAAATTTATAAGATGATTCCCCATATATTAAGCAAAGCTAAACCCTAATGCAAGTACAGTTTGTTTTCCAAGGTGATTACATCAAAGGGCCATGTTGTAGGTCAAGTAAGGAAAATTAGGATAAAAACAATTTTAATTTACCATAAGTTATCATTGAGTTGGTGACGTCACATCAATTAGGAACATTAGGATTAAGGTTTCGTCAAATGTCAACATGTCCAAACAAGAGGCCCATGGGCCTTATAGGTCACCTGAGTATCATGCGAAAACTTTCCAACAATTGAATTAGATTCATGTTTTTTAAACTAGAGGCCATGGAATTTACAATTTTGAAAGAGGCACCATTGCTTATCATAATTATACACTCAGCATGCTTATTTTGGTTACTTAATACCCAGAGGTAGATCAGAGTAAGAAAGAGAAAATTCATTTCCACTTTCAGTAAATTTCAGGGCCCCTGGGTCAGGGCTTCTTGTGTTAGGTCAGATCCACAGTTGAGCTCCCCATCCCACAGGAACCACTGACCCTGGCCAAATTTTTCAAAATTTTGGATTTTTTTTTAAAATTTATTTCATCATGCTGTTGATTAATACCAAAGTGCAGATTTCAAAGCATTAAATTTTTTTAAGACTATGTCCCCCCCCCACCCCACCCCGAAGTACCTCTGTCCCAGGCGCCAGAAAATTAACCTTTTTTTGGAAGAAACAGTTTTCTTTGTCATAAATATATACTAAGATCATTGGCATTATGCCCAATAATAAAGGAAAAGATTTTCAAAGAATTTATGCATTTTTATTTGAATTCATGCATTTTCACTATATAAACATCAGAGCCCGCCCTAACACAAGAAGCCCTAACCCAGGGACCCTGAAATTCAAAAATCTCAAAGAGGCATCCTTCCTCCTCATAACTATGTGCATAGTTCCTTGGTTAAATACTCCGGTGCAGAAAAGAAGAGTTTTAAAGAATTTATGCATTTTCACTATATAATCAATAGAGCCCCGCCCTAACACCAGAACCCCTGACCCTGGGGCCATGAAATTCAAAATTTTGGAAGAGGTAGCCTTATTCAACTAAATTATGTACTTTGTCAGTTTATTTAATACCTAGGAGCAAAGAAGAAGATTTTCAAATAAATATTTCATTTTCACTATATAATCTATATAGCCCACCCTAGGACTAGAACCCCTGACCCTGGGGCCATGAAATTTACAATTTTGGAAGAGGCAGACTTATTCAACATAGCTATGCACTTGGTTAGTTTATTTATTGCCCATGAACAGAGAAGAAAAATTTCAAAGAAGTTTTGCATTTTCACTATATAATCTATATAGCCCCACCCTACCACTAGAACCCTGGGGCCATTAAAATCAAAATTTGAGAAGAGGCAGTCTTATTCAACATAACTATGTACTTGGTTAGTTTATTTTTAATGCCCACAAACAGAAAAGAAGAATTTCAAAGAATTCATGCATTTTCAATATTTAATCCATATAGCCCTGCCCTTGCATTAGAACCCCTGACCCTGGGGCCAAGAAATTCACAATTTTGGAAAAGGCGGTCATTTTCAACTTACCTATGCACTTGGTTAGTTTATTTAATGCCCATTAACAGAAAAAAAGAATTTCAAAGAAATAATGCATTTTCACTATATAACCTGTTTAGCACCATCCTAGCACCAGAACCCATGACCCTGGGCCATAAATTTCACAATTTTGGTAGAGGACTTAAAGCTGATTACAATCATACCAACAGTTTGACTGCTTGATGTTGATGTCCAGGAGTAAAGAAGATTTTTAGAGATTGCACTTGGTAGTGGTTTTTGCCCTATCCCCCAGGCCCCAGGGGGCAGGGACCATGAAATTCAAAATTTTTGTTCATCTTCACCCATAGATGCTTTATGCCAAATTTCGTTGAAATTGGTTCTGTGGTTTCAGAGAAGAAGCTAAAAATGTTCAAATGTTAATGCACGACAAACGATGCACAACGGACGACGACGGACGAAAACAGATAGCAATAGGTCACCTGAGTTTACTCAGGTGACCTAAAAATTATTTTACAATAGTCCAAAAACTATGTGAAGATAAAGTTTAAACTTTTACAGTTTATATATTTTTCATTGATTAACAGATAGAAAGTATCACTTGATAAAAAAATACTTGGAATAAGATTTATTGAGAAAATTTCTTCTTAAAAATGCATATATTTTCAAAAAAAAATACACCTAATTAACTCTTTGCTCTAAGTGAAAACCATCATTGCAGAAACAAAATATGTTTATCAATAAAGGGCAAGCTGGACTTGGAATGCCTCTGGAAAGTTGTTTTCCCTGTTCATATTTTGTCAAATGTAAAGACTTGAAAGTGAAAGTAAATTGCAAATGGCAGATTCTATAGGGGTCTTTTCTTTATACATGTCATGCTTTCAATAACAGCCTTTTAGAGACCATTCACGTCCAACTTGCCCTTTAATGATAAACATATATTAAGTCTACAATGTTGGTTTTTCACAAAAAAGGACAGGATTAAGCAGGTGCATTTTTTTTAAATATGCACATTTTCTGATACAATTTTTCTCAAACAATATATTTTTTTACATATTTGTTATCAAGTGATACTTCCTATTTATCAATCATTGATATATTTATAAATTGTAAACGTTTTGACTTTATACCACACATAGTTTTGGAGCTATTGTAAAAATTATTTTTTAGACATGTTAACCATTGACGAAACCTTAAGGTAAAATGACAGATTTATTTAGAAAGATACATGTTGTACTCATCAGAGCCTGTAAAACCTGGAACCTGAACGATGAGATAATGGATAAGCAATTCGGTAAAAGATTAAAAATCCATTAACCTCTTGCAAAACAGTTCATCTACTCTGCACTGGTCTGAAAGAAACTTGGTGCTTTGATCAAGGTCACGACACATTTTGAGATTATAAGCAATATTAGTTTGAAGTATACAGGTATACCTTACTACATTTCTTCATTTCATTTTGAGTTTCCAATTATTTTTTCAGGTAAACATCATATTACCTTAAATAAGTTCAAATCATGACACATTCTTGGGTCGTAAGAAATCTTTGAGTCAAATAATGGTCCATTTTACAAGATATGGTTACACTGATTTTATTTAAAAAAAATTATTTCTGAGAGTGATCTTGAACTTGACCAAATGGCCTTGTATTTAGATCAATACATTCCTGATAGAATGCTCTGTGTAAAATATAAACTTCAAATGTCTCTCACTTTAATATTTTTTTTCATTCATTGATCTTTAATATGGTCAAAATCAGTACGATTCCTCAGCTTGTAAACAATATCTGTACCAGTGTTTTAATAACTGGACTTAAATATATATAAATACCAACAGACAGGCAGACAATGTAAGTCCTAAAAATCGATTTTTTTGACAGGTGTATAAAGATTAATAACTGTTACCTTTTCCCAGAATCCCTGCATCATCTGTACATTTATCACATGCTTCTCTCG